TTTTTGCACGTGAACGCAACAAATAATATTATTATGGCTGTACTTTAATTTCACGGGGATTAAGTTGATCGCCCTTATATTCCCCTTTAATCATGCATTTATTAAAATTCTGAATGTTGAATTGTTAAGCTTAATACAAGACTATATTTTCGATTAAGAACCACAATTTTTACCATAAATTGTTAACAATATTTGTTTGAAGAGCGTCGATGAACTAATCGAAATTTTAACGATTAGTTTCCATAGGCGTAAATCGTGGGGTTTCTAATGGGGCGTTGCCCCCCTAAATATTCTATTAAGTTTATTTACTAAGGATAGTTATATTAATATAACCTGGATAATATTGTATAGGTTTACAAGATATGACTATGATAAATTGTGTTAAGTACAATTAATAGTATTATAGCTAGGTATTATGAATTGATTAACATTTAATAACCCAAGACGCTAAACACATTACACATATTTTATATTTCATGTTACACCATTATTTAAGGTTATTTATCTGCACTATGCTTTACGAGTTACAGTAAAAAAGAAGGGTAGTTTTCATTATAAAAAAAATTATGTAAAACATCCTGATTTCAAAACCTGAATTTCAATAAATGCATTATCACAGGATAAAAGTAGCGGGAACATGCTAGCTGCGGGAAATCACTCTGTATAATTTAATAACAGTATGTTAATTTTTAAGCCGTACGTAATTAAATCATGGCATATTATTACATAATAATAGTAATAATTTGTTATAAGAATTTACTTGAAAATACGAAACGATGTGGTTGTGCGATCAAAAATAATTACCAGCCAGTTGTGGTGCTGCAGCAATGTTCGAAACCCGTCGCGCGCACATTTCTACAAAATGCAACGTATTCAATAGAAATCATCGTTTTGATACAGATCGTTAATTAGTTGTCTGTACGGTCTATTCAAACGTTCGGACGGACAATAATAGTATATGGGAACATCGCTTCGCTAATGACGACTGTTAACCGGTGACAAATGCATTAACAATATATGGCATTGCGCGAAACGGCGGTGAACGGCTATAATAGATTTAATTGAATTCAATACCCGCCCGATATGAAGGGATTTGCAGATTCGTTTCGAGTTTTCGTGTAGGTGCCAATAAGAACAAATCATCCACCTATGATATGGTATGGGTGATTAAATTCACCAAAACCATAATATATTATATGGGTTACCTAGAAAACTTAACTGTGAAAAAAGCCCTTTACTTTTGATATACAAAATATATAATTGGCAAAACTTTTTTTAGTAAACCGTTTGGTGTCTGTACCTCCACGGAAAACTCATTTATTATTTTATATATTTATTAGGTGGTTCTTCACAGTGCTCTCTACGCTCACCGACACACTGGATCCCAAGGGTCCCACCTCTCCCCTCTGCATCGTGAAATTAATATCTGCAATTTAAAATATTTGAAAATGAATTAATATACAAAACTTTTTTGAATAATAGTGAGTTTTAAGTATTTAATCAATAGTATTTATTATTTAATTATTTTTGTTTGCCGTGGCATTATATGTAGCCATGTAGGTATACCTATATTATGAGGGAGGTAAAATGTACAAAACATTTTTATACTATAGAGAGATAAAATGTGTTTCGAATAAACCAACAACAATTGACTAATTGACATATAATTATTATAGTCTTCAATATACATCGGTAGGTTCATACTTCATACATATGTAATTATATTTCAGTAATATTATCGTACACCGTCGGACGTTTGGTGACTCGCTCTTAATTTCGTCACGACGACAATGATATAATGACGTGTTTGTGCTGCACAAATTACATCGCTATTATAATGACGCGTCAATAAACTTGAACGAATCATTTCAAAACGTATACATACGTGTAGCGAGTACCTACCTACGTATAGTAGGTATATATAATAATATGTATACCTATATCGTCACCCAATGTCAGTTTTAATCGATCAAGTTCATCGCGCGTTACATTAAAACGCGGACGTTTAATACTTAACGTTAAAACGTTTTTTTATTGTAATTTTTTTTTACGACGTTCCCGACTAAATCCGAAATTAGTACATAATATTACATTGCTATAATATCGTCGAGTTGTAAACGTTTATGCAAAGGTTATACAGAGCGATTCATCGATCATACTCATCAACACAATTTTATCGTTTGCATTTATCAAGATTTTGGAATTTTTAACCGTATATATCTTGCAAGGAACACATTTTGAAATACTTGAATTTTTTATACCTGCAGTTAATGAGTACCATCCTGCGGCGATACATGCTTCTTTCTTTCTTTGCCATGTGGGCGATTGTTACGGTCAAGGTTTTTAAGTTATTTAACTTTGTACGCCCAGGATAATAGGGTTGGAAATATAACAAATTTTCCGAGTGTTCTAGGTAAACTTACTACAAACTAAGCACAATTTTATATTGTATATTGGATATTTTATTCTTATAGTTAGGTATAGGTAATTAACTTAATCACACTTTATTTCGATTATTTATCGATACATCAATGTTTGTTTTTTATCTTACAGTAAACAAAAATTTAAAAAATAAGTTTTTAGCTCCACAGGATGGTCCTGGTCTCTTGGCACATTGTGAGTGATTATGATTGGTAAATCAGCTTGTTAAAAAAAATTGTTCGAACTCGTAGAGATTGTACGAAATTTTCGATTATAGAAGACGGTGTTTCGGTGTCTATGTTTAGGATTTTTTACTCTTTTATACAATGCGTTGCAGTTAAGTAACCCTCAAATGCATAATTATATGTGTACATTATTATAAATTATAATTTATAGCGCCGATGCTGACACGCGTAATCGCTTGTAAAGTTTGGGCATTATAATATTGTCGCGGTGTATAGCAAATTAACAACAATACGTGTCCCAAAACGATATCGTTTTCGATTATGAAACTCCGCACAAACGCGTTTTAATCGGATTTGTGTTAATTTCACACACCGCATTCGCGACAGCAACACGGTAAATCGCTCGTAAGAAATAATATCATATACTAGGGACAATACTGTACTGTTCCCGTTAGTGCTTATATAAGTACCTACGTGATGTGTTTTACTTTGAAAACGTTCTAATATACGCTCGTGGAGTAGGTTAGGTACAGTGCACGCCGCCGTCATCACATGTGGGTCAAGTTGTTATTATTGTCATTACCGCGCCGCTACCTATATAATATACAACGGCCATATTATATTATTTTATACCATTATAGACTACGCCACTACGGTTATAGTGTTAAGCCGAGTAGCGCTTAACCGCACGGCACATAACAATTAAAAACAATTGGCAATAACGAGCGAATACGGAAAACAAAAAAAACATTTCGTGCGTTCAATCGACTTTATAATATTACTGCCAATACAAGTGCACGCTCGGGAGTGGAAGTGTGAGTGGGTTTATGTAGTTGACAACTATGTAATGTTGTTACGATGGTCTCTAACCCATTATGCACCAAATTTGGCTATGGATTTCGATAAATCCGGCCGCGGCATTTACGTTTATGGTCGCACTGAAAACAAAAAACATAATACTTATATATAACGTAAACCGTCACCGGCTAATAATATAATAAGTACGTGAGCAGCAATGAATTTACCTGCTAAAACAACGAGTATAGTCGTCGCACGCGTCTCTCCTAGGGTCGATAACAATCGTCTAGCGGCAGCCCGAATTCCTCCAATTAAAATCCTTCTGAAATAATAATATAATATTTATTATTAACACTTTATGTGTACGGACTACGGACGACGATTTTGCGCACATGTGTATTATACTATGTATCATATTATACAGTGTGATTCTCCAAAAATGTCCATCATTCCCCCACGATTTTAGAGTTTAGACACATCAACACTTTTTAAATGTCATCTGAATAACAATATACAAATCAAATTGCGATTTTCGTTTCAAAATAAGAAGTTCATATCGTCACAACAAATTAAATTTAAAAATAATTTGGACAATACATACATTATTAATATAACAAATGTGGGCGATCATGCTTGGTGAATCACTCTGTATAATATGCCTAACGGTAATTTTAATTTCGTTTTTTTTTTTTTCCCAGTCGTATTTTAATCGCTTGCATATATCATATACCGGTTATGCCTATTTAATAATATATAAAATACGTTGCGATTCGGCTCGTATCGACGGTGTGCACCGTTTATATATTATAAGTATAGTATATACCTCCACCGTCGTTAAAACGAGATCTCGTGGCGGTTTTAAAGAATATGAAAACCAGAAATCCGGATTCGAACAATAATTGTAAACGCTTAATATACATGGTATCGGCTGTTAAGCACGTCGTTTGCTTTAATATTAAAATATTGCAATAAAATAATAACACATATAGGTTGGGTTAGGTGCCCATGGATAATGGTGGGCAAGTTAATGAAAATAATTGACTGTGGCAAGTTAAGTTAATTCAATTAAATTGCCTTCAGTTAAGTTAAAACTTAAAAGTTAACAAAGAGAAAAATTTAACTAGATAAGTTTAAAGTTAAGATAGAAAATAAAATGAACTTATCTCAGTTAAAAAAAAGTTAATTTTTTTGAAGGTACAATATTTTTAAGTTATAAACTACCATAGTAGGTATTTTGTTATACACAAACATTTACCAAGACATTTAACAATGTAAAAAATTAAATTATTATAATATATAATTCGAAAATTAAACCAAAATTGTATTAAGTTACAACAATAAAAATCTTAACTGAATAAGTTAATAAGTTAAAAACAAAACTAATTAACTAGTTAAGTTAAAAAGTTAAAAAAAAAACTTTTTAACTTTACTTTAACTTTTTAACTGCCCACCTTTGAGCATGGTGGCTATGGGGCTGAATATCGAGTCTCGCACCTCCCCCCACTCCCACTCAGGTGTACAGGCATTATTCTACGATATATATATATTATACCCATATACTTATACTGACGGTTTTCCTTTTTGTTTTTTTTTCAGGTTTTGCGGTGGTGTCGAGCTGTAGTACGGTGTCGTCGCCTTGGACGCCCGGCGGGGGCACGGCCGGCGGTAACCCGGACGGGCCGGACGGCGGCGGCAACGGTATGCGCAGCGCGGCCGGCGTGAACGCGGGCAGCAACCTCAGCCTGGACGTAGACGACTGCGATGACGACAAGGAACTGTCGGCGGCCGATGCGGAGGGTGTGTGGAGCCCGGACATCGAGCAGAGCTTCCAGGAAGCACTGGCCATATACCCGCCGTGCGGGCGCCGGAAGATCATTCTGTCCGACGAGGGTAAAATGTACGGTGAGTGATCGCATAATGTTTTTGTTAATCAATTATGATAATATTATCTGCACCGTCATCAGCACAGGTGCTTTCAGATACAATATTATAGTCATTATATCGGCATGGCGCAGTCGTTTGAAAAGAATAATAGGTAGTAAATTCTATCGACATAAGTTTCGTTCCAACAACTCGAGAGGGCCCGAAGTAGTAACATTTTTTAACCACTAGCTATATTTAATATTTATCAACAACCGCACTCTTACAACTGACCAAACGTGTTAACCGAATAAGATAATAACCATGCATATTATTATAATCATTGCAATAAATCACGTAATGCAAAAATTAAAATAATCTTTTATATTATTTACAAATTGATAATAATTATGAATCATGATACTACAAGTAACAATATATATTATAGAAGCCACTAATTCATAATCCCATATACCAAGGCAAAATAAAATATATTTTAGTGTATAACTAGTATCATTTTTCCAAAGCAAACGTTAAGAGGGTGCATCACTGCATCAGTAAAAATATTTTCTTTGTCTTACTCACGTGAAATATAGTATAAACAATAAACCTCTCCGAAATTTAGTAGTTTTTTTTAAAAAAGGGTAATTTATAAATAAGTATGAATAGAATATTATTTTTTGAATTGTAGATGTATGAATATCGAATATTGGACGAATGATTTTTGATTAACAATAAACATTTAAAGTTTAAATTAACGAAATTTGGTACACAACTTATTGCACGTGTAATGCAATTAGTAGTACCTTTTTCCATTTTACTCTGTACATCTAATATCTATGTACACGATTATTCATTGATATAAAAAAAATTCTATTCAAAAGCCATTAAATTAAACACAACATTTATTCAAAAGTTGTTGAAAATTATATTGTGCTTAATATGCTTCCGATTATGATGAAATATTTAAGCAATGTCATTAAAAAGCATTTAAAATCCACCAATATGATAAAAAATCATATTAAATTGTTAAAATTTGTGTATAGGTACTATAGTATAATACATATATAGAGTATACGTATTAATCAAATTCGTATAAAAAATATCTTTTAAAAAAACACAAAAATCGTCTTATAAAATGAGTGTGAATAATGTAAATTAAATGGATCAGCCTGCAGTGTGTACAATTATTTGCCGGTTTAACTTCGCTGATTTTTTTGCGTGGTGATTAGATTAGATTAGATTTAAGTATTGGAACCGATTTGAGGGTTGTAACTTGAACATTTTGCAATTTTTTTTTCCTTATCTATACTAGACCCTAGTGATGAACCTATATAATATTCATCGGAGTAGTATACTGTGTATTTCAATTTAACAATATCGTTCTCTCTTATAGCATTTATCTCGATCGTTTTACTACTCAACTTTACGCAGACCGCTGCAGATCACGTCCGGAACTTGGAAAACGCTGCTATTATGCAAAAATCATGTTTTGGAACAACAACAGCGTATATAATATTATAATGTACAAATACAACTTACTAAACTCTGGCCCCTTATAGTTTTGTTATTTATATACAAATTAAAGGTTCATATAGATATTTTATCACGACTTGTCATAAATTTATTTTGTTAGTGCAATAAAAACACCTTGTAATATTATTATACCTATAAATAGCCACCATAGGTGATACTTTTTATTTTACAGCCGACTATCTATATATTATGTCAAGTAAAAAATTAAAAACGTTAATATAGGTACACGGTTATACCGATATAATATAATGCCTTAAGTACCAATAATGATAATAGGGCACTTTGTTCTGCGTACTATATGTAGGTATATGGAATAGAATTTTAAATGTTTAAAAGACTAAAAGTTGCCAAACATTTTTATAGCCCACGCCATTGTGCAGCAGCTAGCACACCTGTTATTATTAATTCCTCTCTCTTTCTCCTTATAACTTTTCCTTGTGTCGGACCCTCATGAATTTATTGCCGTTTCGGGCGCTCTCTCACACGCATTATATATATATGTTAGTGTGCAGTTATGTATTTGTGTGTGTACAGTGTGATGTATATATTTTTTGTCCGCTCTAAACCGACTTTTGAAAGCTTTTGTCTTCCGTCGTCTCGCCACTGAAAGTGACCCTTTTTGTCTTCCGACCGCATTTTACTCAAAAACTTATCTCGCCGAAAACTTGGGGTCGTAAATACTTTTGCGATTCAAGGCAACTATAAAAGGCGAAGTTTTTATTGTTTTCCGTCCTGTCCGCTTCTGCTGCTGTCTGCAGCACCCTCGCTCTCGTCTACAACAATGCTTTACGCGGACGAGTGTTGAGTCCGACGAGAGCGATTCACCACCAGGGAATGGACGTGTACTTACCTATACATATAACATAATGATATTATATAATTATACTGGATCAAAAACGAACTATAAAAAATTATAATAATATCCATAAGTAATGTATAATAGGTAATGGCATAAAACATTTAGGAGGGACGAGCAGATGTTTGTATACAAAATAAAAGGGTCACGTGTACGATAGGGGGCAAATAAAAGTTTAGCTTAGATATTCATTGAAAAATGAATTGTCTCCTGCAACGCAGTGCAAAGGGGGTGACTAGCCAATTGCATTTATATAATAGTTTTATCGTTTTCCAGTGGTAGTAAAAGTGGCATAGAAAGAAATCGCTAAACATTAAATGCGTGTATAGAAATATCGTAAAAGTAAAGTAAGGTCGTGTAAGGTAATATAATATATAGGTTCATATTATTATAACGGTAAGTTAAATAAAATAATTGCGATGTATTAAAATTTCACGAAACGCTGTAGACATTAAAAACATCATTAATTAATTTACTTCGACAACTGCCATATAATTCGAATTGTAATTGATACATTATAGGTACGCTTTTTATATAAAAAATTAAAATTACAGTTTTGTTAATTTAATATTAGACCAGGTTATTTATGGCCATATGGGACGTGTTATAGTTGAGTAACATCGCATTAAATGCAATGCATATATATATATATATAGATATGTATAGTAAAAAAGTGCATAACGTTGCATAACACTTATTTATATTTATTAAAAAAAAATTATTTTGTTAATTGAAATTGAAAAAAAAAACTTTCAAACAAAATTATATTTACCTACTGTGGAAGAATTAAAAAAAAAATAAGTAAAAACACTTAAATCTAGGTGGTAGTACTCGTATTTATGCATATATTGATATATTTTATGTACCTACTCATTTTAATATTTAAGACATATATATCACATTATTATATAGGTATGTAGATAATTCTTAAAACCGGTCGCTCGTGTGCTTCGTCTCCTCGTAAAAACCGGCAAACGCCGTCGGTGAAAGCTTAAACCCCCGTAAATGCGTTTGGGAAAAAAAATTGAACAATTTGATAGCGAGACGACAACGGTTTAGCGTGTAATAAACACGTATTGCTATAAATTTAATTTTATGATATTATGCCGGCGGTGGCGTGAGGTTTTGCAGCGGGAATATAATATAATAATAATAATATATATATATATAGGCAAACCCGGTTTTCAGCGCGACGCGTTGAAGTGGTGGCGGGTTGGTGCAGTATATAGTTTTCATCATCCCCCCCCTGCTGCAGCGGAGTGAGAGGGTTCCGATTTGTGTGGGCAAATGACCGTAGGGGGTGGTGGTGGGGTGGTTTGGATGCGGGTCAAAGGGGTTGTTTTGCGGCAGTCGGCGTGGTGACGAACGGATGAGGTGGTATACGCGTTTCGGCCCCGGGGCTGAAGGCGGTGGTGGTGGTGATGATGAAGGTTCCACGTTAGGGGGTTGTGAAAGGGTGACGAGAGGATAGTATATATGGAACTATATATATATACGTGAACTCGCGAGCGCGTGTGTGTAGAGAAAGAGAAAAGGGTACGTGAGAAGGGAGTAGGGGTAGGGAGACAGGGAGACGGCGGACGAACTATTTCAAGAATGTGCAATTAGTGTATATACACACTCGTCGGGGGTGCCGCTATAATTCACCCTTGACTCCGGCGGCGCGCGTTGCGTTGCTCGTAGAGTGTAATAAGGGAGGAAAGAAAGACATAAGAGGCCATCTCGGTCGAGACCACCCCACACCCTACACCTCCACCCCGCTGCCGCGCCATTAACACGTAATCTTCCTCCTCCTCTTTTTCCAGCTACCTATATATATATATATGCTGAGAGAGTACAGCTAGCGCAGTTCCAGCGATTTTCTGCTCTCTTTACCGCCGCCACACCCATGCTGCATCCTTTACCCAAAGCACTATATATCGCCTTCAACCGCTACCTTCCTTCGCTGCTTCCCCATCCTCTTGACCTTTTATGTGTGCCTCCAAATAAAAGCCTATAGGGTATATGGCCTCTATGTGTGAGTGTGTGTGACCTGATTGCTGCTATTGCTCTCTCTCCCCGCCGCCGACCCGAATGCTTTTGTCCGTTATGTGTGCGTGAATAACGCGAGGTTTTTACTATTGATTCGGTCAAACGGCAATAGAGGATCATCCGGTCCACAAAGCTTTCTTATTTTTTTTTTCTAAAAGAATTCACCTTCGTCGCCATCGTCGACAGTTGTGTCCCTTATTATTTCTGCACTGTTGAAAAATACATCTCAACTCGAGACTCCACTCGAGTTTACAGTGTATACACGCTATAAACATTATACCTATTGCAGGCTATTGTATGTAATACGCTCACATCTATACCACTGCGAATTGCAGTTTTGCCGTTCGATGAATTTCATCTGACGTGTTTAGAGCGATGAGGAGCAAGTGTATAGTCGTGTATCCTGCAATCGTGTACACTTCAGCTATTCGTTTTCTACCGAACGAGTAAGTACGCTGTAAACAATTATTGTCATCATAACTTTATGGTGAAAGGGTAGGTCGCCTGACGAGAGTTAAACAATTTACGTGGAACGAATTGTATTCAAAACAAATGTCTCACTGTCTCAGAGTGCCCAGTTCTAATCGATGAAGTTCGCACAATCTCGTTATGACAACAT